TAGCGGAAGGTTTCGGAAGGGTGAAAAAACATATATTTAATACTTGCGCCGGGTATTTAATGTTCGGCTCCGCCCGAACTTAGACTTTCTTACTTGTTTATTCATACATACGCTTTGAAAATCTTCAAAAATATGTGATACATTTTTAAAATCAAAATATTTCCACTATCTAAATTAAAATGAAATTTAAAAAATTTGTTTTTATAAAACAATAATTTAATGTATTAAAACTTGTTGCCCATATGTAACTGAATCGCTTCAAATGATATAACGAAACGATAAAGTGAAAAAAATTAAATTTTCACTGACATTAAATTTCTCATTTTCACTTCACAGTTTCGTAGAACCACAAGTGCTTATGCTTGCTGCCATGGCAACCTTGAGCATTTTATTGTTGTGAATTTACAGATGCACCGAATATACAATAGGGGTATTCTCCAAATCTTGCAAAGCCGTTGTACTTAGCACGGATTGCACGGAATGCATAACTTGCAAACACGCAACAACAAAATACATGGGAAACACCATTTCCTATCGTTGCAAAATATGCAACATCGAAACCCATGTATATATTTTGCAAAAAAGCATAGAAAAATAAATGCGACCCTGTGCTAGTTGTTTTGTTGTTGGAATTGCTACATATTTCTCTCATTCTTCTCATCTCGCTCACTTCATTTTTTTTGCTGTATCTTGTTATTGTATTTGATACAGAATTTCGCTGTTTGCTACCGATGCATGCTACCACTTTGCAATGGGGTTCTCTCGTACTTTCAAATTTGGAATAGTATTTTTGCATTTCGTGCAATCCTAGCATCGTGCAAGACTTCGAGAATACCCCTAATGTAATAGCATATGCACAAGATCTTGAACAGCCGTATTATGTTTTGTTTGGTGACGGTTAGTGGGACCTTCACTCGACTCTGGATCGGCTGAGCTTATCTCAGCCTTTGACAAAACTCACCTCATACTAGGTATAATTTTAATTATTTTAGTTTATTACTTTTTTAATACATGAACTATATTAAATTTAATTTTTTTATTTTAGAGTACCCTCCAAGTGAATAGCTTAAAAACAGGAACCTTAATTAGAAATTTCCATTTGGATATTGGCACTGTTGTGGCTGTGTCCGGAAAGAAAAAGTATTCTGAATTCTTTTTCAACTTTTCATCATTTTTAAATCCTGGTATTATTTACCAGTACGATTTCAAGACACCAGAAGAACCATTAAAGATATTGCGTGAAATTAAGCTACGCTTGGATGGATATAGTCAATATGACTACGAAGTAAAGCAAATTTTCTATGACAGTTACGACGGTACTAAAATTCCTATGTTTATTATACACAAGCGAACGCAAATTATTTCCCCTCGTCCATGTCTACTCTACGGTTATGGAGGCTTCAACATAAGCTTACAGCCTTCGTTTTCTGCAACAGGATTGATGTTTATTAACACTTTTGACGGTGTATTGGCATATCCCAATCTACGAGGAGGTGGTGAATATGGTGAGAAATGGCACAACGCAGGGCGGCTATTACATAAGCAAAATGTTTTTGATGATTTTCAAGCATCCGCGGAGTTTTTAATTAATAACCGATACACGACTAAAGATCGTCTTGTAATACAAGGAGGATCAAATGGAGGATTATTAGTAGGTGCTTGCATCAATCAACGACCGGATCTATTCGGTGTTGCGATAGCACAAGTGGGGTAAGTCAATAAATACAAAAAATTGCTTTTAAGTTTTAAACATATTCAATTTCGCTAGGGTTATGGATATGCTGCGTTTTCATCATTTCACTATTGGTAAAGCTTGGTGTTCGGATTATGGCGACCCTAGCGAAAAGGAACATTTCGAAAATATTTTTAAATATTCACCTTTGCACAATGTGCATACTCCAAAAACTAAGTCTGAAGAATATCCTTCAACTTTAATTCTAACCGCTGATCACGATGACCGCGTAAGCCCCCTGCATTCTTTAAAATTCGCCGCCACTCTTCAGAGAGCTATTGAAGACTCTGTTCAAGAAAATCCCATACTTTTACGCGTATATAGCAAAGCTGGCCATGGTGCCGGTAAACCAACGACAAAAAGGATCGAAGAAGCTGCTGACATTCTTACTTTTATACGCAAAACCGTAAACGTTGATGTTATTAATTTATAATATATACATATTATGCACATTATAACGTTATTTTAACATTTTTATTAAAATCTTTAGTTGAATGCGAATAGTATACATATAAAAGAGCTTTTTTCAGTTAATCATCGCTGTACCTCCTTGTAAGGAGAGAAATTTCATAGAAAAATAACATTTATTATAACTTTTTTTATAAAAGCTGAAGGAGTCAACCTAGTCCAAATATGTTAATCACCTTGTGAATAAATTCAGTATTCTCATCTCTTTCCCTGTAAATACTGAGCATGCACAGGCCGCTTAGACCTGTGTCTCCCATCCTTGAGCGATTCCACGTCTTGACACGTCGTAACGTGATAAGTGTACATTCAATTCTACAAGTTGTTGATGGAATAGTAGGACCAGTTTTGATTGCCTCACATATCGCTGGGGAAAACGGAGTGGCTTGAGCAATTACATCTGCGCACATATTAAACAACGGATTCATCAGATTAAATTAAATTTCGATAATAAAATTATGAAGAAGGCTACCTAGCAGAAAAATGTAAAAGTCATTGCCGCCCTTAATATTATAAATTTTACTAGCAGATCCGGCGGACTTCGGCCCGCCCAAAATTCATTATTTTTATTGAAACATTTTGGTGCAACATTTTCAACAACAATTCAGTCCACGATTTCCAGTGGCACATTTATCTCCTAATGTTACGGTTTGGTGGTTATCAGAAGGAATATTTCCATTGCCGTCTTAAATAACCTAACGAAAGTGTATGTCCATGAAGAAGTACTTGAAATTCTTCAACGATCTGGCGTTTCACAGCTCAGTTAATCGCACAACGAAATAAATTTGAAGAACTTTTTCCTCTTCACTCCCTGGCGGCAACAGTGGTCCGGTTTGATGGTGAATCTGTCCATGAAACTGTATAATATAGTTAGTGGCAATTTCAAACTGGGTGAGTATCGTAATACTCTAAATGTTTTATCAAGGAGCGCAATGGTTGTGATGATAAGATTTTTAGTAATAATTCGACTCCAGCGCCACCTGTGCCGGGTCAAACTGTGACTCTAAACTATCCAGAGACCAACTCAAACACAAACAATTTCTTCAAAATCGTTTCACTCACAAACTCACGTACATACATAAGAATAATATATATATTCAAAGATACGTACGTTTCAGTAAGTTTTGAAGGCGCCACTCCCCCTTTTCAAATAGTCGCAAATTTCTGTAGGAGTATGGGATTGATTACAGACATATCCATACCAAGTTCCGTTACTCTAACATGAACACTTCCGGAGATATGCAGTATGAAAACTCGGTTTATGTGGGAGGTGCCACGCCCTCTTTTCCAATAACCCCCATTTTTTCCATGAGTATGGGATTATTTTCATGATGCCGTGCAATAAAGCCATAGGCCATATGGCTTTTTTTCACTTCACATGGAGAAATAAGGCCTTAGGTTTTAGAGACAGCATTTACTTTTTGTATTGAAGTAAGATCGTATGGCTTTATTTCTCATATCGCACACCGTCTTCAAAAGAGTCACAACTCAAAATTTGGCATTTATGAAATTATGCGCTAAAAATTTACACTGAGCTTTTATTTACCTTTCAGCAAAAGCTGGAGCAAATTTTGTTATAATTTGTTTAAAAAAACCCTTAGGTAAAGTCGCCCTTCCCCATATAATTAGCATGTGCTACGAAATAGCTTTTCGTATTTTCTGACGAACGTATTATTTCGAGTTGTGACTCTTTTGAAGACGATGTGAGATATGTTAAATTTTTGCGTATGGCTTTATTTCACTTTCCCCATGGAAATAACGTCATATGGCTTTATTTCACTGCACATGGAGAAATAAGGCCAAATGGCTTTATTTCCATGGGGAAAGTGAAATACATAAAGCCGTAAGCAAAGATTTAATGTATGAGAAATGAAGCCATACGATCTTATTTCAATACAAAAAGTAAATGTTGTCTTTTTAGCAGCGGTACGGACGCGCCGCGCAGCCCTCATATAAAATTGTTGCTTTGTTCATTCTTCTTGCTTTTAATGATATGTATGTGTACAATGCACATATATGAGGCTTTCTTTTAAATCACTAAGATATATTTATATATCTATATATCGTCATTTAAAGTACGAAACCGCGTATCAATATAATGCAAAACCGCGTATGTGAGGTTGCATAAATTATTTTGTGGGGAGTAAAAACACTCATATTTCAAAATTGTTCTCTCTTTTATAAAGCAATCGTATTTCTGGCTAGTATATTTCAGCACGAATGGATAAGGCTTGAGCCAAGAGCTTCGGTGAGTAAATCCAATTTTTGGCAAAAAATGTCAGTTACGCGGTTTTGTACTTTAAACGCCGTTATATGTATATGAGGTTGAGTATTTTTCGTTTTTGTCATTAATAATTTTATACATACCTCAGATTAATATGCATCTTACCGATTTTATTTATTTATTTATTTGGTCTACAGAAAAATGTTTTCTTACACACAAACGAGAATAGAACATTTAGATATTTAAGTATGTGTGATATATTACAGAGTAGACTAATTATACATGTTAATTTGTAATAATAATAATAATATAAAATAGCAGGTTTGGTAGCTGGCGAGGCCTAGTCTCCAGTCTACTTTCTCAACCAGAGTCGATATAGTAAACCCGACAAAGAAATGGAAACGTATGTTGAAGAAAGTCGGACTGACCAGATATATACACGTAGATCCTGTTTTTTGTCCCTCTGAAAGAATTTTAAAAATTCTATACAAATTTCTTTTGTTTGAAATGCACTAGCTGGCAGAAAAGCTTGCAAATTTGCGTTCGTATAGAAAATTGCAAGTTTCTCTACACTGATATCTTGAAAGATAATTCTCGCTGGATTTTCGACGAACAAACCTACTGTCTTCCCTACAAGGCCTTTTCAGACTGACCGATTCTCAATACACTCAAATAGAAACCAATACACATAAAAAACGCTGTAAAAATTTCCCTTCAATTTTAAGGCAGTAAAACAACGACCTTAAGTTAACATCAACCGAGGCCATATCTTGACAAGGGATGCAAAATCACAATTCTGATGTAAAATATGATGCCAAAAGGCTGCAGATCTCCCATTTAGATGACCGGCAGATGTCTCGTAGGATTCCCAGAGAGTTTTGCTTTACATATTCAGTGTTGGTTCCTTTAATTCAAGTTGGCATTCGGTTTTTGGAATTTAAATAAGTTCTCAGCAAAAAAGTGTGTTTAAAAAAATACATATGTGTAAATAGTGCTTGAAAATATCAATTTTTCCCTTACCTTGAACCTTTGGGAGTGGGCAAAAATAATGTTTTGTAATTTAGGCAGAATTGAATATGCGCTATCTGGGAAGACAATATCTACATGTAATATTTATTCTGTTTGTTGGCACTATATCCAAACACAAACGCATCTTAAGTGTCTTAACAGTGAAATAATTTCTTATTTTCTAAGTTTGCGAATAAAACTTCACACTTAAAATTAAGACATTTATAACAAACATTTTATGAAGAAAATCCCTTCTTCGTTTAAAATAAAAACAAGCGAAATCGGCCCAATTTCATACAGCCCTGTCTGACATGAAAATGTTCTCCACGATAAGGCTAGTAGCCATTTCTAACAGATTTTGGGTGGCTTAGTCAAAAATGGAAACAACATATTTGAAATTTAAGAAAACAAGGCAAATAGCAAAATCGGCTAAAAACGGCTAATTTTTTTCTGCAAAACGGCTAACAAATCGGCTGCTGGCTAAATCGAAATTTCTCCGGCTGTTTGCTATCGCATCCGGCTAAATCTAGCCGGAAAACGGCTAAAATGGCAACACTGCACAGATTTATTCGCAGGAACTACGATTAATTCTTTAGGTACCGGAGAAGGTCCACTTTGAGATGTAGGTTCAGACAAAGCTGTCGTTTTTGCCTGAGGAAAATGCAGCTTAAGATAACTCAACACACGGAGAATTAAAACTTATTAATTCCTTATTTAAGCCGGGTGTTAAAAGAAAATTGCATATACATACGTACTTACATCTATCCATACAAATTAATATATATGTACACGTGCATATGTATATATCTATGAGATTTTCTTTTAAATCTGTAAGATATACTTATAAAAAATTAAAGTGTGTATAAAATTTCTAATGACAAAACCGAAAAGTACTGAACATTGCAGGCGCCATATAAGGAAAACTGAATTATTACGAAATATAAATAAGGTGGCAGCACTTTGCGCCATTTTGCATTTTCTCGTTCAGTTCGGGAACATTATTTACTTGCCTTTTAATAACAAAATAAACAATCTTGTTGTAAAATTTATGTACTTTTTGAAAAAGTTTTTCAAATAACATAATTTCACAAGTGTTTCAAAAGAGAATATTGGTGATTTAGTGCATTTTTGAGCGTGCAATTACTCATAAAAAAGAACAACATTCCAAAAAGGTATCGTTAACACAAGGATAAAAATTCGCCGATTGGTACCCCTCCTGACAGTTTTGGACATTTTTGTTTTTTGTTTTGCTAGTTGTACCTTCAACTAGAGAATTACCGAGTTACTTTACGAGCATATGCACACCAGCTGTGCACTAGGTAAACATTACACAAAATATAATCAAAGGTGCAATAACGCCATAATGACTATATATCTCAATGTAAAGTGAAATAAAGCCATATGGCGTTATTTCCTATGGCTTTATTGCACGGCATCTATTGTCATATATATCCATACCAAGTTCCGATACTCTAGCATGAACACTTCCAGAGAGATGCAGCCTGAAAAATTCGGTTTGTGTGCGAGGAGCTGCTCCCCCTGTTCCAATGATCCTAATTTTTCTTTATGAGTATGCGATTCATTACATATCTTCGCTTGAAGAAATGATTGTCGTATGTTACATTTGACGTGTTTTGGGAAATCGCGGCTGAAGCCTAAAGCTGCTTTCTTGAAAACGTCACGGTAGATTTCTTTGAAAATTGTATTTGTTGTTTCTAGCTTAAGGCAATATTGGAATTTACTATTTAAAAAAATTACACAAAATCTGTAACATTTATTGCCAATTTCACACTTTGTCGTATGTAACAGTTGACA